CACCCTTCAAGAAGTTAAAGGCTGCTATCAAATCCCCCCTTGGTCTTCTCTTCTCCAGACAAAATAATCCCAGTTCCCGCAGCCTCTCCTCCTAAGTCATGTGCCCCAGCCCCTGAACCATTTTCATTGCCGTTTTATTGTATTCAAAGCTCCCACACCAAATCAGTGGTAGCCATTACTGTTGTCCTCAAGCTATAGAAGTGCCTCTCTAATTTTCCAACTTGATCTTGGGGAAGAGGTTCGTTCCCCCAGTCGCTAATGCTGAGCCATTTTCTCTGGCTTTGCAAAAGGGACGAAGATTTCACCCTTAATAGGATCTGACCTTTTTTTAAAAAGATCCATTATTAGTACATTACTATATAATGCTCAGTACCTGTCTCAATACATCATGCCAATTAGTGTACAGTGAATCCCAGGAAGTTCAGTCAAGAATATAAAAATGACTTATTTTTAGACTTTATTTTCTTTCCCTTCTCAGTAATTACCACTGGATTTTTTTCTCCCTTAAGTTAAATTTAAATCATGATCTGGCTCTTTGAGGTTCAGGAAATAGATCTCTGGTTTCAATTCAAAGGTCAAGTTGCGGTTGTTTTAAAACTGCTGGAGCGATGGCCCGTATTTTCCGGTCACAGTTGCCTGACATTAGACATCGAAATACGTCATCTAATTGTCAGGAATGTGAAATGCTCACAGCTCCCACAGACTTCATCCGGAGCACCAATTGTTCCTCAGCTCTGAAAAACCAGGCCACTGATTTATATTATAATATTGCTCAGTGACCCCAATTACATTTCAGACCCATTCTGCCGGGCCCTTCACAAATATACTGGAAGACAGAAAAATCCCTGCACCCAGGCCTCTGTTGCCAAAAATGTACAGTCCAAATCAAGATGAGATGCAGTCCTTTCATGCCATTAGCCAGCAGAGAAGTGATGGAGGAAGAAGGGAGAACAAAGGTAGCTGTGTCACAATCAGTACCTAACTCAGGGGACCCAATTTGGAAAATTTTGGCCAGCGGACACTAGTATTTTGAATCTGGAAATGGTTGGCTTCAGTGTCTCCGGCTCTCTATCCCATATGTTAGTTAACTACAGTGTTTCAGCTCCTGCCCCCTCCAAGTTTGACTTAAAGCCGAAGAGCACATTTTATGCGATGCCTGAGGCACAAATATTTTTGCAGCAGGGAAATGTTGCCAGCCCCTGCAGCGCAGTTCGTTTCTTAATATGTGAAAATTCATTTACTGACAGTTTAGAAGATGATACTATGATGCTGTGCCAATTTGAGCCAGATGGTCACTGAGATTATTAAAATCATGCATGTTACACAAACCTCCAAGAAACTGCAGTTACAAATGTTATTAGCATGGTGGGGAGCCCAATACAAACAAGGTAGCATCTATATCAATGGGAGCATTTGTATGTTTAAATAACACACAATGTGATACTGTTTAATCATAATTTTTCCCCTTCCCCATCTTTTAGGTTCAACTAATCCACTATAACCATGAGTTGTATACAAATATCACAGAGGCTGCAAAGAGTCCAAATGGCTTGGTGGTAGTTTCTATATTTATGAAAGTAAGTATTTCAGATTCATAATTACCTAATGTGTACATTACCAAAATAGGTATTTTCCTCACTAACAGGATTTCAGACATAGAACTAGTCCTTACTAACTGCATGGTGGTTGTGCCTAGGGAGGACCCCCGCCTCCGATGCTGGTAGGAGAATAAACGTGATAGAAATACAAGCCCTGCTCCAAGGTGCTTGCAGCCTAATAGAGAAGACAGCGGGCGGCAGGGGAAGGAGAGGCAAGGGGAGGATAAGCGAGAGTGAAACAATCACGTCTGATATCATTAAAGCAGTAGTCAGAGCAATTTATAGCTATGACAGAAAAGTTATTATTCTGCAGATTTGCAGTTTCTCTGGCTGCTGAGATGCAGGAGCAAGCATTTAATTACAATTAAACCTTTTCTAGTAGGGCAAGGAATGGGGGAGGGAGGGGGAGAGTGTGTTGCACATTAGAGCCATGCTGTTACATTTAAAAATCAACAAATGATTTTCTCTACCAGTGTCATTTCAGATATCAAACCTGAAAGAATCCTGCAAATTAATGATCTTTTACCTTCTGGGTTTCACACTGTTGGAAAAACATTTTTATTTCCCATGTTTTTGCCTTTGTACTCCTGGGTGTAGGGTTCGTAATCACTTGCAAGAAGCAGGCGCCTACGGCTGGGAGCCCTTTTTGCTGAGGAGGCTCCTGGCCGTGGGGGCTATGCTCAGCCAGGACAGAGCCCCACAGGTTCCTGATCTCAGCTCAGGTGCAACCGGGAAGCAGACTCCCCACAGCTCATGGGGCTCTGGGTCCTGGATATGCCTCACCTGCAGTTGGGACCAAGAGTCCCAGCTCACAGGGCTCTGGGTCACAGCTGCACGCAAAGCCTCACATCTGGGACCCAGAGCCCTGTGACTTGCAGGACTCTCACTCCCAGCTGTGCGTGGGACACATCTGGGACCAAGAGCCCCATGTGGGCCCAGGGGTTTCACGTACCCCCAAGCCTTGGGGATCATCGCAGCTGCGATCCTCAGGGCTCCACGGCTCCCCTGTGCCTGGGAACCCTGCCAGCTTGCAGGCTTTGAGACACAGGGGAGACGCTGCTACACATGCGTGTTAAAGCTCAGCAGCAACCAGGTATAAAGTTACTTTATAGCTGGCTGGGGCTTTTTATCATGTGATAGCTACTTTGCACCTGTAGCTGGTCTCAAAGTAACTGCACGATTAACCAATTAATTGTGCAATACCTACAATGTGTAGAGGGGGTCCTAGTGTTACACTCTGAACTTGCAATTTATTCAGACCTTCTTAGATTCCTCTTCTATCCCCAATCTAAGGAAGTGAGGGCAATATATGTACACCCCCCCTTCCAACTTGCCTTAGTAAATTAATAAAGAAAAAAATTGTTCCATGTAAACTATCATCTGTTTCTGCTAGAAAAGCAAAGCTCTGAGTGCCAAAGGGCCTGGCCCACATTCCTAGGAATTACATATCATGTGCTTCCTTATGAAAAAATACTATTTCATACACTTCAAACTAGATTTGTAAGAATCAACTTACCAACCGCCAACCTCAGGACCCAATATCCTTTTCACCGGCCATCCTGGCAAGTTGGGTGTTTCAATTACCTTTGCACAGCTTTATTCAGGCATTTATTACAAAGATCTTCAGACCACTGCTTTCATCCCCTGTATACTGTGCTATGATCCCAGTGAGTTAGCTGAAGATCTTGCGAAGGGATGGAATTGAAGCAGTTACATACAGCCCAAAACTGTGCAAATAACTGTGTAGCACTTGTTCAAATATTTCCCATCACATAATCTCCAGTATATAGTGGAAACACGTTACTTAGATTGCCAAAGTTAAAATCACGTCTCAGAATAATCATGTATGGAACATGGCATCTACTACCAAACATCTCTGAGCATTTAAAAGGTGAAAGGTAAAACTTTTTCACTGAATAAAACTATCACGTCCACCTCAAAAGCCACCAAATCCTGTTCCAAACACGAGTCAGTCAGTCATGGATCAGCCATCTCCTAATGCTGCTTATTTGGGGAGCAGGGTCCCTTGCTTGTTCCAGCAGGAGGGCAGAAAATAATTTTGGGAATTATTAGGATATCAGAGACTTCCTTTCTGAAGGGAAAGATCCAAGACTGAACCTTTCCAGAGCTTGGGGGGTTATGTGAAACAGGTTCTGGCACACGACCGTCTCCATCTATTTTTCCAAGTTATATATTGCATCTTACAATCTTTCCAGCCTCTCAAACCAGTTCCAAAAGCTGCATGTGTCACCACAGCATCCAACCCAATGCTAAAAAAGGATACTATAAGTCAGACCAACCTGGACAGGAGTTAAAAATGACTAGGTTACCTCGAAAGCTAAGCTACACAAGCAAGTTGCATAAACAGGTCATTAGAGGGCAGGGTCTAAGTGACAACATCTGGTAGCTTAGGTACTTATCAATAATTGCTCTGCTACTTGCAGTACAATAACATCGCCTTGGCTAAATAGTAAAAATGAATTGCTGATCCATGTAATTACCTGTACACAGCCCCCTGTTGTAACTGCTGCCTCTATGTCTTGTATTTGACCCTTGTCCTTCCCTCTTACACCAAAAATGCCGGGGGGTACAAAGTGACACCAATTTATTTCTGAAAGGTAAGTCATTTACATGCAAAGCAGAGGCAAAATGCCTAACACTAATTTACAGCTGTTGAAAATCTCACTAATAAAATGTATTTTAATAATATTGCTGTTAACATTTATTTTCTATATTAAATACTACTGCTGCTAAGTACTTCTGAATAAATAAAAAATTGAATAGAAATAGATACAACAGGGAGAGAAGAGATGCTTATGGTACCAGAGGTCTGACAGAACAGACCCAGGCATAGGTCTGACCATAAACACTAGAGAATAAAATACTCCATGCAAGGACACCAAGCAAGTGCCTAAAAATCCCACTTAAGACAATGGGGGTGAGACCCTGTTTTCACCTTTCACCCAGCTCTTAATCGTTTCTCCTGCGTTCACTTCTTGGGTGAAAACTTTCTGATCAGTTCTGTTAAGAGACATCTGACCTGAGATGATGATGCTTCTGCCCACAAGAGTTAAAAATAAATGTCAAATTCCTGCATAGCCATCACATATCTGACTTCCTAGTCATATCTACATCAATGCTGAAAAGAGATTTTTTTTTTTTCCTGAAATGAGATGTTTGTCATGAAAAAGTTTTTGACATTAAACATTTTTCCCCCTATAGGTATCTGAATCATCAAATCCTTTTCTAAATCGTATGCTAAACAGAGACACCATAACAAGAATAACGTATAAAAGTAAGTTCCTTTTCACTCACTGTGGCTAACAGTTGTATATAGGTAATGTTAAAGGATATAAGTAATGAAACAGAGGTTGTGAAAGATGCTTATTTTAGGCAAAAATTATGACGCTTATATTGCCGGTGATCATGGGTGCTGAATTTGGGGACTTCGACCTACATGAAAGAGCCTGACAGAGCCATCAGTTCATAGCATGAATTTTGAAAACTCAAAGTTTATTTTGCGTTTGAAAGAGCAATCAATTAATCAGCCTAATTGTAAGAATTACACTCTGACATGGAAGCATAAGGGAAACGGCACCGGTGGTAATGAAAGTTACAGAAGGAACAGTCTGGGTTATATGATATCAGAGGGTACTTGGAGAAAATATTACCTACAACTACTCTTTGTCATTACTTGTTTTTGATATGGGTGTTTCCCATATCATCAAATATTCAGCAATTGTTCCTTTTTTATTGTGTTTGAAAAAGCTGATATTTCTACCAAGTTGTTATTACTTTTAATAGTATTCACGTGAAAGGGAGTCAGGAACATAGGTACTCTTTCCTGTATTCAAATTTGGAATACTTTTAACAGATATCATTCAGTAATTTCGTATTAGTAGATTGAACCCAGGGAAAACTCAAGCTTAAACATCACTTGACTGGACAAACTGAACCTGCTTTCTTAGAAACCCTATCTTCTTTGTCAGATACTCACTTCACTTGAGACTAGCCATCGAGATCATGCCAATAATCAGGTGAAATTTAATTTAGACTTGGGGGGAATTCCCTGGCAAAACTGAAAAATGGAGCAGACCTTTCTGAATCTCCATCTATTTGTGTTACTCCATGAACAATCATTAGGACTTTTTCAGAGATTTCATTAATTGTTATTTCATCTTGCCATATTTGATCTCTTTCCATGGAAATTAGTGTGCTATCTTGTAAACAGAGTAGGGGAGTGGAAGTCGGGGAATTTGGATTCTGTTCTCAGCTCTTGGACCTTGACCAAGTCACTTAAGCGGGCCCCACCACATTTTGCGCTCCTGTAGACTGGTTGTCTCACTTTACAAAGACTCAGGGTCAATTTTAAATTTAACATTTAGTATCTGGGAAACTCATTTGATTTGGGCACCACCTGCAAAACCAATATGCTTTTCTGAATTTTACGTTTGTAACAAAATTCACCTGATCTAAAATTTATGTATGAACGGTTGGGAGGGTTTCATCGATATATCTATTTACAACATGCAGGCACCCTTACTAAGGGACAGGTTAGTTTCCTCCTATAAAAATCCTACTTTCCTTCTCCTCTGTGAGGTTGGGAGGACAAGATAGAAAGACGAATAGATTTAATCCAAAAACGAGACCACTATAATCACCTAGTCTGAACTGCTGCGTCACATAGGCCATAAAAGCTCATCCAATAACTCCCATCTTTAGAAAGACATGGGGCCTTGATTTAAATCTCAAATGATGGAAAATCCATCACATCCCATGGTCAGTGATGCCAGTGGTTAGTTACTTCTGTTAACAACTTGCACCTTTTTTGCCAGTGTAAATTTCTGCAGCTTCAGCTTCTAGCCATTACATCTTGTTACATCTTTGGTCTGTTAAAGAGGGTACTTGAAACATCTTCTCCCCGTGGAGGTGTTTTCCAGAAGCAATTACTAAATTCCCATGACACATTTTTCATGAGATGGTTCCCAAGGGAAGCAAGGTATCCTCCCCTGCTTCATGGAAGCAGCAAGGGTTTGGACCCAGTGTACAGTTTTCTTGACTTCTTGCCCTACAATACCCTGACAACACAGCTTCATCTAGTTATAGTTTAACCTACTTGTCGCTGCCCCTAGAACACATTTAATGGAGGAATCATAGGACAGAAAAAGCTGAGGTACGGGATACTCATCAAGTCCTTGTGCACAACCTGAGTTATTAAAGTTTAGAACTGCACAAGGACTTGGTGAAGACCCTGTATTTACTTGTCTGAGGATGGTTTGTGGGTGAGTAGGGGAGTGTGTATATGTTCCTCTTACTTGTTCACCCTCTTCCAAAACATGAATTTCTGGGTAGGGAAAGGAGGAGCTAAGATTTACACACATACACATGCATGCACGTGCGCACTACTGTCTAGAGTAGACTAAATAGACAGGTTGTTCCACAACCTCCCATCAAGTACTTCTTATTTTCTCTCTCTGACAGCTCTGTCCAATCATTTTGAGTTACTAAATGGAGAAGAGCCACGGATTAAAGCATTCTGATAGAAACACGTGATAGGTGCTTTTAGGCTGCAAAGTCAAAAATAATTGGACCCTTAAAATTTATATCATGGTTAATATTAACCTATGTATCTGTTAAAATGGAGGAAACTAGCTGCATAGGGTCACTGTGTATTGCAGTACATTGAGCTTACTTCCTGCAATAACAGGTATCGACTGAATGTGTGGTTGGTGCAGACTGGGAATGTGAAAATGTTATTGAAAGTAATTTTGCAGTTGTGTTGTATGATGGATTATAGTGCCATTGCTGAAAACTAATTCTGTTTCATATAGTACAAGGATTTCTATACTGCTTTTAAACAGCCAGAAATTTAACTTGCACTTTAAGGATTCACTACCCAGAGTCAATATTCACCATATTTGTTACCAAAAAAGCCAATCCCAGTAACGTCAGTAAGAGTCGGGCCAAGTTTGAGATCAAATTAGATATGAAGTCAGGTACAGTAAATAGGAAAATTAAAACAGTGGCTTAAGAAGGAGCAAGAGATTTTGTGTTCCAAATTTTGACCAAGGGCAAAAAATGTGTTAAAAAAGGATTTCTACTGCAGGAAAACATTAATGGTTGAAATAGATATAAATGGCCCACTTTTGTGACTATTTCACTCATCTGCCTGCAATTCTACACAAAGAATTGGTTTTGAATGGATTGAAATGGCTGTTCTGTTAAACAGACCAAACAGTCAAGAACTATAAGGCTATCTCTACAGAAAAGATCCAAAGAAAAATTATTTTAATATTCTTGTTTAAATGGAGGGACAAAAGGTGGTTCTCTTTCCTTTTAAACTAGCTGTGCCATATTAGTTTTCACTTCTGCTGATAGAGGAGCCCACACATTCCCACAATGTTGGATAAAACCAGAAATTTAGCTTCCAAGGAGTCTGTACAGAAATTTGGACTTCCTGTGATGCACTAAAGTTGATGCCAAGACACCAACCAGAAGGAAGAACTTACTTAACTTATTACTAAGCACCTAGGCTACGAACAGACATTCAAAAAGCCTGAGCCTGAATTGATTCACTCTTGGTAGGTTAGTCTGTGCTGCGCAGATTGAACCGATTAACAATTGGACAGACATTCACTTTTGAACCAGAAAATGCAGCCACATGCCTGCAGTGGCTAAAGCCAGAACCCCGGGGGGAGAGAGGGGAGGGGCGCTAGAGCACACCTGCCAGCCACTGCCAAAGGGGAGGAGAGACAAGCCCTCCAAACAGCTCTCACCCCTCTCTGCTGGAGGAGAGGGAACGTGGCCAGGCACCAGCCCAAGGCTGTCCTGCTGGAGGGTGGGAGTTTAAAACAATGGGGGGGGGCAAGAAGCCTTTCTCTGAAGCCAACATTTGAACACAGCAGTTTGCAATCTCAAGCAAACACACGAAAAACAACCAAAACTCTTTGCCTAAGCTAAGATACAACCCAGTAAAACACAGTGAGACCAAACACAACTTAATCTAACTTAAAATGGAATGTAATAAACCAAAAAGACAAGGCAAAGCTTTGCATAAGTCTTATGTAATCCTGAGAGCCATGGCCAATCACGCCAACCAGGGGGACTGTCCCCTATGGCTGATCACGCTGACCCAGAAGTGGCAGTGGAGCACCACTGGCACTTCTGGGTGGGCACAATTGGCTTCAGGGATCACTTCTCCTGGCTCCCCCACTCCCCAGCTGACACTCTTGGAGGGGCACCAGTGCTCTCATCTACCGCCCCTGCCTGGGAATGCTGGCTGTCAGGGGGTGCACCTGCACTCTCAGGGGTGCACGTGCACTCCCATACACCCCCTACATGTCACCACTGACTCTCTGCATTCTTTGATCAAGTTGTATGCCACCCTCAAGCTGTCTGGAACCTCTTTCTGTTCCCTTAGCTCCATCTCCAGCACATACATGTAATGACTGGGCCGGGTCTTTGCCACCACCTTCCACCTCTCAGTCTGGTACTGCAGGGCTCAATGGCACCAGCACATTGAGCTGGTGCCATTGGGCCCTGGACCCCTCCCAGACCCAAATGGGTTTGCTTGTGGGGGAGCAGTCCCTCTCAGCTGTTGCCTGCCTGAGCCAATTACCCTGCTCAAACAGAGAGCAGGGGTTGTGGGCAGCACACTGAGCTGTGGAAGTAGGGGATTAAAGCCTTTCTCAGACCCCAGCAGGGTTTGTCAGCGGGGGGGGAGGGGAACAGTCGCTCTCAGGCTGTTGCCCCATCCTCTCCTCTCCAAAAGGGAAGTTCTGGCCACTCAGGCAGACCAGCTGCTGTCCCCAGCCAGGCTTCCCACCCCCACCCCCTTTCTAGCCTGGGCAGTGAGGGCTGGCTGATGAGCAGAGAGGCAGGGCCAGCCCTGCTGTCTGAAGCAGACAGCACAGCACAGCACAGCCCAAGACTGAAATGCATGCTGGGATGCTGGGGGACTGTGATTCAACTTAAACCAGGAAGGGGTCTGGGACAGAAGTTGCATAAATCAATTTGACCCAAATCACTTAAGTCTGATACTACATTCCACCAGGTTTATCTTAAACCAGTTTCAGCCATTTTGTGAATGGCTTATGTGCACTGAGCTTGTGTTCTGTTATAGGTTTAAACTAGGGCTGTGCAAAGTTTCAGGTGGTGATTCGATTTGGAGGAGATTCAGCCTGATTTGGTGGCCAAATCTCTGAATCAAATCAGGGGACC